CAAAAAAAAAAAAAACCACCCATGACTACAGTCTTAGACAATCGTACACTGCATCTGTGGAGGTTTTGGAGGTCAGGTCAAAGTGTTTCCCTGACTTAAGTAACCAGTGTGGTTCATGACTTGAGAATGAGCTCATGCGAGTCCTCTGACTTATTTTGCCTCTTTGTTGTCCTAAGTGTTTTTGTCTTGGAGCATATTAAAATTGTAGCTCAACCTTTGTCTTATGCTTCTATTTAGGTCTCCAGATCATACTAAATTTGTAGGAAGCTTCAAAACAAAGCAAGACTTTATAGATCTGATTGAAGTGATTTACCGTGGTGCAATGCGTGGGAAGCTCATCGTGAGAAGTCCCATTGATCCCAAGAATATTCCTAAATACGACCTTCTCTACCAAGGAATTTAATGCGTTSGTCTGAGGTAAAGGATTGCTGAACTGGTCCTACTGTTTTTTTTCAAGCATTTTAGCCACCTTTGACACCGTGGGACAGTTTGAGCATTTATACTGAAGGATCACATTGGTCTCCTCCTGAAGACAGATATTCTGTCATGTAAATACTTCTCTAATAAATAAAGCAACAAGTTCACGTGTAGAATTGATGCAAGTGAGTGTTTTTGAGCAGCACACTGGCCAGCAGTCACAGAACACACATGTTGCATGTATCCAGTGGCAGCATCTCCAGTGYGACTTTCTTTAGTGAAATCATTGTATATTCTACTAATTGTCTGCCATTTTTGTAGAACTGTAATAAGTCAACCACTCTTTATTTACAAATTTCTATTCATATCCTTTAAGTGACTGTTCCTTTCTAATGGAATTTCATACTTCTGCCCATCATTAGATAAACAGATGCTTGGTCAATGGCTTAGCCATTTTAAAAATGGAATTATGTTCCATGGAATCTCTGTGTCATGTCTTTAACATACCATCTGACGGGAGAGAGGTATCACTATGTAATTCCCTGAAGTACCTTTCAACTTAAATCTTTCACGAGGGTAGGCAGACATTCCAGAATGATTTCAAACACTAGACAGGGTAGAGTAGTAACCTGGCAGGAAAAAAGCGATAATTCAAAATGCTCGATCCCTTGCATGCCTTGTGTATTCCAGATTTGTCTTTTTAATTAAAGCAAGGTATTTAAGAAATTTGAATTTTTAACTACAATTTARTCTGATTGTAGATCCATGACTACAGAATACAGATTTTAAAAAATAATGCATATTAGAGTTGGTATACCTTAACATCTTTATTTTATACAAGTGTGAATTTCAGAGACAGACAAAGAGTTGTGGTTTAAAGCTTACAACTATGCTGTTCTTTCCTAATATTTACTTATATTTGTTTCTCAAAAGAAAACCATCTTTAAACCCATAAATTGCTCTACAGCAAGAGAAAAGTTATTGGATGACTTAAAGGTGGAAAAAGATGCAGAAGTGGTTGTGAAAGGAAGAGACCCCCAGGAAAACCACACAAGTATGCTTTTTATTTATTGTCTTTCTTCTTACTTGTGCTGCTTCGGGTTGCGATAGGTGAACGTGTAAAGGGTGCTGCTGCAGTCTTGGTTTTCAGAGTGCTCTTCAGGTACTTRAAGATGGCATGTAAGCAGGAGGAAGGTGCCAAGCTGTACTTTTCAGTTCCAGCAGAGACAGTAGGACAGTTCACTTTCACAAGGGACCCCACAGGTTTACCGAGCGGCTTACTGCTTGATACCCATTCTTGGCAGTGTTTTTGTATCCATTCTTGTATTTGTGGGTCRCTTCCAGCCTGGTGCTGCGTATTGTGCATGGAGTCGATGAACGCCACCGCGTACACTTTACTCATCACCTCCCATTTTCTCTGCACGAGCAGATTGATGAACACCAAGCCGCCGTAGCCATGCGCAATGAAGGCCACCTTCTTGGCTGCACTTTTTGAAATAAAGTGATCCCACACATAGGTGGTATGCTCCTCCGGGCTGCTGCTGCACTGCTTGGGGACCAACCAGAGGAACTCCGTGGAAGATGATGATTCTTGCCTCTTAGAAACAGTTGACCTCTGCTCTTCTGTCTTCAGATGCAAGAAGTTGTCGTTGGGGTTGAGTACAATCACTCCCCCCTGGCCTTGAAGGGCCATTTTGATGAAGGGTATCTGTGTGCCGTGGTCCAGGCCCTCATTGATAACAGTCTTTTGCCCCCACTGTCCAGCATGAAAGACTCCACGGTCTTGAAGAAGGACAGTTAGGCTAGAGGTGCTTGTTAGTGCATTCTCGCTCATGAAAAAGAAACTTCTCGGTTCATCCCCAGTGGCATCAGTAGGAATATAGACTTTCTGCAGCAGGCATTCTCCTTCCAGGAGCTCATAAACATACTGGGAAAGCACGTGCCCCAATGCTTGATAGCGTTTATGATTCCTCTCATGGGCATTCTTGTAGTAATTGAAAACAAAGGACTCATTGGTGTCCACATGCCTCAGTTCCCCTTTTATATTGAAGTCGTAGTTCAGTTGTTCTTGATACTCTGAATCCTCTAGCAGTTTCCTCAAGCTCAGTTTGTGCTCCATTTGTGACCRCTACAAATCACCCAGATGGGTGTCAATACAGTGATAGACCTTYGTACAACTGCATAAATAAAATATGTTAGACATCCAATCGTAAAATGGTGACACACAAAGTAACTGTAGACACAAATTATCTTTTGGTGGTCTGTAGTAAGCCAGCTGTTTGAAAAGTCCTTCACACATTCTAGTTGCTAAATTACAACAGCATTACATTCATAAAAATCCTTCCAGTTACTACTTCATCCCTCTCAGTGCTTGCCCCATGGACATTATGGAGTGAATCAGGGAATAAACTAGCCACTGTTTGAAACACTGTTGCAACATAGGTATTATTCCTTATGGGCCTTGCCATGTAAGGTTTTCTCTGTTCCAGCAGCAAGGCCCTCCTGCAAACTCTGTCATTATTATGGGTGCAAATCCTTGCAGAAAACATCTCTCCTTAAAAAAATAAACTGAAGTCACTTCAGGTTTTTATTCTTTAAAATGTTTTTCTTGTTTCCTTCCATGATTCTTTGTATTTCTCCCCTGCCCCCTCTTCTGCTTCGGCCCCGTTCTACCCGATTTACAAACGGAGGCATCTTGCCGCCGCTGGGCGCTCAGAGGGGGGCGGTAGCGGCGCGCGCGGCCGTTGGGCGGCCGTTGCGCGGCCGTTAGGGGGGCGGGGCGGGAGGGGGGGGGAGGGGAGGCGGCGCCCGGCCCGGAAGCGGCCGGGGCAGCTGCGCAGGCGGCGCCGCGGCCGGGTAAACAACGGCGTGAGGGTGAGTGCGGCCGCGGCGTCCGGGCGCCTCGGCAGCCTCCCCGCCGGCTCGGCGGCGGCAGCGCTCTCGGTGCCGCCGCCCGCTCCCGGGGCGCCCTTACCGTGCCCGGCGCCCCGCGCCTGTGCCTGGTCGCCGCCCTCCGCTGCGCCCCGCCGCGCCTTCCGGAGCCTTTTAACGGTCCCGGTGCGGCCGGGGGCAGCGAAGCCGGCGGGGGAGGGTGGGAAAGGGGCGTTCTCGGGAGGAGGCGGGGGAGGGAGCGCGGGGACGCCCCCCGGCTGCCCGAGCGGGGCCCGGCGGCTCCCCCCAGGCCACCTCCTGCGGGCGCCCCGGTCCTTCCTCGGGCCCGGTCCTTCCTCCGGGGCCTCAGGTGATGCCGCTGCCCGCAGCTGGGCACGGAGGCTGCGAGCTGCGAAAGACGCGCAGCTCCCTCCCCCCGCGCCTCTAACGGGCCGTAGTGAGCGCGGCCCTGCGAGAGCCCCAGCTTGGAGGGGCTCCCGCGGGGGACCTCTGGAATAAGCCCCGGTGAAGGCAGAGAGCTCGGAAGCTGGGCCCTGCCGCTGGGAAAGGAGCTGGCCTGTTCACAGGAACTCGTGGGGCTCGTTTTCTCTTTCTTGCTGCCTTTAATTTTTATGTCAGAGCCTCAGTGACTTATTAGTCATCTGATTCCCAGTAGGTCAAATTAAGTGGCAGGTGCCTTCATTAAGATGGACTTTGGTGAAAATTATTTTTAGCAGTTCTGCTCCAGCTGCCCATACATGTGTTTCTCTTGTATCGTGGCTGTTTATGAGCTTTCTTGGTGCTGGCTTGCTCAGAAGGGATCTTGTTCTTGCCTAGTATGTCATTCTATGGTCCTAATTCACTCTAGACAAATAAAACACTAATTGCTAATTTTTTCTTTCTCCATCAGGGAAGATCATGGAAGGAAGAACTTCAGCATCATCAGGCCACATCAGCGTGAGTGTTCTTAAAATTTACGAAAAAACTGCTTTAAGAATATGGATATCGCAGGATGTGATGATGTATTTGTATAACTGAACTTATTCTCCAGTGGTCCAAATTAAGCTTTGCTGGTGCACTCTTTTCTGAGAACCTAGCAGTAGTGTAGTGAATAGTGATGTTTGTTGCTCAATATATTGATATCCAATAGGTTTAACATTTGATACAGGTACAAGCAGCATATAGCAATGGGTATATCAAACCGTAAGATAAAATCTGAAATATTAAGAATAATGCTCATATATGAGTAGTATGCGTAGTTRGAGAACAATTTTGTACTGCAGTAAAGTCTTCAAGCTAGTGGCATAGGTTTTTTTTTTTAAGGGCTGGTAGCTGTAGCTATTGCTTCAATGGAAGAGTTGCATAAGTGGAATATTTGTTCAGAGTTTTTATGCTAATGTTTATTCTTCCTGAAATATCCACATTAGTTGTAGTTTCTACAGCTATCAACAAGGGAGGCACTGGTGAAAAACAAAGTTGTAGGCCCAGCTGCTGGTTTTACTGGGTAAAGTCTGAACCTTCTGGTATTTTAGAAATATATTATTACCCAAATCTTGTTTTCACACTCATGCAGACCCTTGTACATCCAGGTGGGAACTCTTTGGAAAATATTGCTAGTTTAGATATGAGTCTGTTAAGGATGTGTGCATTTGTATGAGTTGATACTGTTATGTTGATTTCTGTTAGCAAAAAGCTGAGGAAACTGCATGTGTTGCCCTTGCCATAAAATAGGGACYTCAGCTGGTCATCTCTTGACTTTGTACTTTTCCCGTAAGTTAGCTGTAGGCATCGCAAATCAACGCTCTCTTAAACTATATGAGCACTGGGAAGGTATCATAGGGTGAGATAGAAGTCTTGCTGCTCAATTTATCTGTTATCTTTTATTCCCTTCTGTCTTTGTTTTGAGCTTGACCTTAGCTGCTGTCAGTGTTACTGGAGAGTATCTGAACCACTGTAACATGGAATGCTTATTTAAGCTTAGGGAATTGATTAACTGTTTTCAGGAAGCTCGTAACAGAGAACACCAGTCAGGCAGCCAYTTGAGTCCCAAGGTAAGGAGCTGCTATCTGACCATTACTGTGCAGAGTAGAAGAATATATTCTGATTGATGGAACAGATATATAGGCTACTTCTCAAAAATCACACTTTCTTCATTAAAAAAGTGTTTATTTCAGTCCTTAAATGTATTGCTTGAGGTAACTTGTGAATAGTTACCTGTGGATAATGTTTACATCCTTTATAATTGGAGGAAATTGTAGTGAACTGATTGTCTCAATATCATAAGTAGCTGCATCTATTATTCAGATACTTGACCTAAAATGTGCTAAAACCCACGAATTTTTGTTTTTGAGAAATGTAAATGAAGAATGAGAGCACTAACAATGCAAACTGCTAGACTGGAAGGGTATCCCATAATATASTATATTTCAGTTAGAGTCTGAAGCACTGCTTACAGAGCTGTGGCTACCCTGTCTGTGTCTGCAAATCCATAGCTCCTCTGTTCTGGAGCTTTTGATTTCATGTTACAAGGCAACAACAAGGGTTGCATCTGGTAGTTTGCAAACTAACTTCAACAGTAGATTTTACATCAGCCTTAACATGCAATTGGTTTCAGCTTGTTCCTGGCTCAAGTAGATTTGGTTGTCTGAGAGATTTTGCATCCATTTCATCCCATCACAGGTACCTTCATTCTAATCTAGTTATACTTGCAGCATAAGGTTTTACTTCTCAAGATGTCTGAGTGAATGGCAAAGGTTGCATTGTTTGTTTAGCTGCCAGTAACTGGTTAAATTAACTAGATATAAAATGTCATTCGCTTTGTTCATCTTAATGTATCTATGACTTGACTTGCTATTTTTGCAAGGGTTGTCACTAACAGCAATTGGTATCATCTTTGAATATATCACTCTTTTGATGCTGATTATCATATACCAAAATCCTGATGCTATTGTAGGATATAATTGCTCTTCATCCTCAAAATTCTTTCTCAAGAGGGTATGAATACAGTGGCTTCTTAACTCAGTGAAACTCTTTGTCTTCTTCATCGTTCTTTAAACTGAGATGTGGAGATTAAACGAGAGTGGAAGGAAATAACTGAGAAAAGTGTATGTACCAGTTAACCTCAGTGCCAGGACACGTCTGAAGCTGTTATGAGGTTAATGAAATAGGATGCTTTTCTTTTCGTACTATTTTGTTTTCTGTTTGCTTTTAAGATGATTGATCTGTTAAAGCTAGTTCCCCAGTGCCTCAGCACCTAGTATTAGCCTACTAGTATTAAATATCATTTTAGACCCAAGTTTCAGTGGGGATGGACGTAAAACCACAGGTCAGTGCTTCCCAATTCCTTATTTTGCGTGATGATTTAGGCAAATTTGTTCATGGCAGTATGCCAGCCCATGGCATCAGTGCATAATCTAGTTTTATCGTGTGTGTAACATGCTCTGTTTTCAGTTGCATGTGCCAAAGAAGAAGCCAAACACCAAGTCAGAGGATATCCAAGTTCAGTTCCCTCTGACAAGGCTCTCAGGCTCCCGCCGTTGGGTCTGCCCTTTAAAAGAGGTAAAGAGAAGTTCCTCAGTGCCAAGTACTTTGGAACATGTTCTATGTCTTGTTTTGCTTTGGAGGCTGGATTTCTTTTTTGATATTGAACGCTGCCTTGTAACTGTGAGACCAATATCTGACCCAAACTGATTTGGAAAGAGTCAGTGCATGGGTCTGAGATCTACCTCCTGGCCTGCAGTTACAAAACCAAATATCTTAGTGCTCTGTTGCCAAACTAGATAATGAAAAAGTAGAATTGGACACTAGTAGTTTGACAGGARATTTCCACATTGCTAAAGTTATTCTGAAATTGTCTTGAAAATTGTAAGTTTAAAGGGAAATGTATATACAAGTTCATTGTTTTGATTCCTGAGCTTTCCGGTTATATTCAGAATACTTATTCCAAATGTTTCTATTATGAGATGGAAGTCTCTTTTAGATTAAATTTTGACATAGTCATTATTTGTATCTGAGAGTTGAAACTTTAAAAGAATGTGTAGAATACTGTAGTCTTCTGGTTTAAATGCTCATGCAGAAATATCAGTGTTAAGACTAAAAGACCGTAAGTGTGTACTYAGCTAACATCATAAATGACAATCTTTATCATCTTAGTTGCATGTAAAAGCAAATTTGTTAAGTAAATATACTTGAAAGACGTTGAAATCCAGCAAATCTTTGAAGTACCAGGTTTTGGAAGCATTGTACTCCTATTGCCTCCCTCAAATCATCCTTGAGAATTTGGTGATGACTTTGATGCTTTCAGAATCAAGGGGCTCTTGCCCCCAGAAGGGTTGTATAGGCGAGTGGGGCGGGCTAGGGATGCTTTCAGCTTGCAGTAGTGCTGCTCGTTTGACCCAATTCTCGGTAGATCTAATCCCTTGACCCTGTTGCAATGCAAGTTCACTGTGTCATTATGTCTTCTCCTGTAGGTACCTAAGYGAGCAGAGCATCCAATTAGAGTCAGGGTTTTGAAATCAGAAGCAATGCCTGCTGTGCTTGGCAGCAGCAGCCTCTTGAGCACAGCCAGAAAGCAACATAGAAATCTCTTCTCTCCTCTCCCTATATTTATGCATGTAAATATAGATGCTTACATATATATGTATCTAAATAGTGATTGGACTAGGTGAAGTAAAAAAGTGGGTTTTTTTCCTGCATTTTTCTGTATTTTCTATCTCTTACTATTTTTCTGACCTATGTCTCCGTTTCTCAGATTCTTCACATGTGGTAGAGAGTTTCTTATACTCTAACACAAGCCTAGTTGTTTTGTATTCTGTTTCATCTTGAAAAGGTCATGAAGCATCATAATTAGAAGGCATATTATTGTTTTATGCATAGGTAGGAGCAAGGATCTGTTGATGTTGGCAGGGTATTTAGTGTTGCATGACTTTGCTCTGTGAYACATGAGAATTTTTGTGTTGCTTTCAGTGGTTGGGTGCATCGGTGTCTCACGCTTGGAGACCAGTGGCATAGGAGAGCTTGGGGGCAGGAGGAGGGGAGAAGACCTTCAAAACCATTTTCTGCTACCAGACATTTTAATAATGAGGGCATTTCTCATCACAGAATCAATCCCTGTAAGAGCAGAAATGGCAGTTTAGGACATGTAGGACATGCCTCCCAGGCTTCCTCACTGAAGTAGCCATAATGTATGAGCCTGATTTTTTTTTTTTTTTTTTTTTTTTTTTTTTTTTTTTTTTTTTTTTTTTTTTTTTTTTTTTNCAATGATCTTTTCCCCTCCATGCTCAGTCAGAAAGGAAGAGTTGGTTTGTCCTCTTTCAGCCTGACTGGCAAAATTTTCAAACCTGCATATGTTTTATTAACTTTGCTATTTAAAAAAAAAATGAAAAGAGGATAGGAGGAAGAAATGGCATAGGGGGATAATTTCTGGAATCACAGAAAAAACGATATGTTTTGGTGGAGTGCCATTATATTTAATTTGGAAAGATCTGTACATTTTGATAAGGTAAGAAAAAATGAAAAAAAAAAACCCAAAAAACGGTTGTTTTATTATGTCACTCCAGTGTCAAGCTTTCAAATGTATATCCCTGCTAAGAATCCCCTTTGAGAGGAGCTTCTATATTTTGATTATATACACAGGCAGTTGTTAAAGAGAGTGGGCAATATCTTGTCTATTTGTGATGTTGTAAAACAGGTCTAATATTTAATTCCCCTTTGGAATGGTAGTCTTTCAAATAGAAGAAATTGAATTGCCTTTATTGTCAAGTTTCTTATGAAAAAAGAGCAAATTCCTTTCAAGAAAAGGCAGCATATGGATGCRTAAACAAAGCATATTTTGCAAAATTATGTATACTTTTTGTTGCTCTGTTTTAGTCGAGCAATTGCATTGTTCCATCTTTCTAGTATAATGTTTATGATATTTTTGCCTGTTGAATCTTTGTTATTTATTTATTTCAGTGGAGATTAAGTATCAGGAACAGAGATTCTCCTACAAAAAGAAGGCGGAAAAGTGACTGTGACAGATACAGCTGTCATGATGAAGAATCAATTGGGTAAGAATCATCTCAAAATTAGTTCTTCTGTGCTTACGTTGGCTGAGTTTCCTAGTCTTTCTTGAAGACATGTATCCGTGATCTCCAGTTTTAGGTCATGCTGAGGTGWTTCTTCAAGATGTCACATAGCTTCCTGCCCCTCCAGTGAGGTGTAATTTCTGTGATCTGATGGCCTTATGAATTATGAAGCAACCATCACTTAACTGTTATCACAAGACCGCACCACAGGCTAGAGGAATTACTGCTTGTTGAACAGTTTGGTTTCAAATCATCTTCTCTTAATGTGTGACATTTTTTATTCTGTAGCATAGGATGGAAGAGACCTTKGGAGGTCATCTAGTCCAACCTCCTTCAAGCAGGGTTAGGTAAAGCAGGTTACACAGGACTCTGTCCAAGTGGCTTTTGAATCTATCCAGGGATGGAGAATTCACAACCTCTCTGGGAAACCAGTTCAAGTTTTTCCCTCTCATATTGGGATAGATCTTCCTGAATTTCAATTTATGACCTTTTCCTCTTGTTCTGCCACTGGGCACCACTGAAAAGGTCTGTCTCCATCTTTTTTGCACTCTCTCTTCAGATATATGTTGAAAAAATACCAGCCCCAATGCTTCTCTTCTCTAGAGCAGAYGGTCCCACCTCTCTCAGCCCCCTCCTTGTAGAGCAGATATTCTAGTCTCTTTGTCCCTCATGTCCRTCTTGTACTGAGAACCTCAGAACTATGCATAGCTCTGCAGATGGGTCCTTACCAAGGCTGAGCAGAGAAGAAACCCAAGATGCTGCTGACATTTTTGGCCTCAAAGACACGTTGGTGRCTCATGGTCAACTTGTTTTTAGCTAGGATCCCCAGATTCTGCTTTGCAAAGCTGCTTTGCAGCAGGTCAGCCCCAGCATGTGCTTGTGCCTGAGGTTATTCCTCTCCATGTGCAGGACTTGCTTTTCATTGTTGAACTTCGTATGGTTCCTCTACCCACTTCTCTGGTTAAGCAAAAGCTTGAGAATTTGCAAAAGGCAAAATATTAAGTGGTATAGTGACGATCTTGAGAAGGCAGAAGTTTTTGTATGGATAAAAAGGAAATGTTGATCTTGATGACAAACCACTATTTTAAAAATGTAACCTTCATTTGGTATTACCCAGGATACGGTTCCTATCACATATTTGGGGAGGCACATTCTACTTTAAGTGTTGGCTTTACCATTGTTACTGCCTACTTAAGTGTGAATAGTTTAACTTATTCATGTCTTTGCAGAAAATTTGGCATCATATTTATGTGATTGGTCTTGTTAATGTTTTGTATGSCATTTACTGTTGAGGAAGGGAATAACAGTGTTTATTGCCATAGCCTGGCGACATTCTCTTACCTCAGCTGTGTTACTCGTGGGTCATCCAAGTTGGACAGTGCTACTTTGAAAATCAAGCTTCTGGTTTAGGTCTGTCAATCTTTCTTTGGCTTGGGAGGAGTATTTGAAGATGTGTGTAATTCTGCCGACTCAACACTGTAAACTTTAATTGAAGTACCTGTGAAGGCCGAAGGCACCGCCACCACCACGCAGCTGTCAGGTTTTGGTGGTAATTGCTTACGTACAAGTTTCCTTTGCCCTGACACTTCCTGCTCCAGTGAAGCCAAGGAGGTTAGTAGGGATTTTCAGGCTTACTGTTAAAACAGAATGCTGCTGAATTGAAGAAAGGGTCGAGAAAGACACTGCCTGTCCTCTTCCTACTTAGTGGTAGTGCAGTCAGTAAACATTGGTGACATTTTCTCGTTAAAGATGCATCATTTMGTTTTGTTGGGCTCCGAAAGGCCAAGGACTGCTTGGCCTATGCATAGGCTGTAGATTACGCTCAAACAGATGAATCGCAAATAAACAAAATGTCTGTCAGTGGTTTTCTGCAAACCCCAGGACATGCCTTGAGTTCTCGTAGGGTCTATTGGAGCACCCTCATATGTGTTTATCATCCCACCACTGCAATGCAGATTTTACAAAATTTGGATCCACAAGGAGGAGAATTGTAGGCAGGAGGATGGGGGAGTAGGCAGCTATTATCAATGCAACTGCAGGAGGAGTCACTAACTTTCAAGTTTTGATTTGGACGACCTCTCTAACACAAACATGAGCAAAATGGAGGCAGTGGTTATATTTGGGTGTGCATGTAAATATAGTAATTGAAAACAGAACTGGATCTAGTTCTACATATTGCCTAAGTAGAGGTCAAGAGACCAGATATTTTCCCCAAGTCATGCAAGCAACTAATACTTTTCAGTCCTGCCCTTTGTATGGTAGGATAGTAGATTTTTGTCTTTGAAAAGTGGTTTGAGATTAGCCAGGAGTAGTAGTTGACAGCATTTTTCTTAATACAATTTTTCCTGTTTCACTCTTACATGAGTAAGTATATTTCTCTTACCATTATCTACATATATATTTTTGCTTTTGGAAAAAGGATTGAGGAGTAGAAGCAGTAGGGTGGAGTAGGGAACTGCTTTAAAAACAAAAATATTTTGATTTTCCATTACCAAGATGCCTCCAGACTTTATGTTGTGTAATTTGCTTGCTGTGTCTCTCACTTTTTTTTTCTCTTGCTTGGCATCACTTTTATCTTTTGAAATTTCTYTTGTATACCTCATTTACTTGCTTTTGTGAACAACTTAGCAGGTAATATAGGGATCTGTGTCTTTAGATATTCGAAGTGTAGTATAGACCTTTTAAAAGCCATGATATTTGAAGCAGATGCACAGATTTTTGGAAAGGGTTTCTAAAAACAGCCATTCTCTGCCTAAGCAGTCACAGAATGTATCCAGATCTAGATAAAAGGACAGTGTGTATCTGCGTTTCTGYGTCTCTGCCTGTGCCGTTCTGGAGCTACCCGCTTGCCTGGGTCAGTCCTCTGATGAGGCCGGCAGACTATCCTAGTACATATGCACCTAACTTCATATTCCCATCGCAGAGTTCATCTCTTGCTCCAGAAACCTTAGACTGTATTTCCTGTAGCTAATCAGGGACCCCCTCTTGCATGATTAAATCTTTTTATGTTTTTTAATTTTCTGTCCAGATTCTTTTGTAAGAATGCTATGATTTATTTTTTTCCAGAGTTTAAGGATCTCTTTTTGAGACTCCACATTATCTGTATTTCACTATTTTTATCTCCGGGAAGCTTCTAAGACAAGCCGAGATTATGGAGAAAAATGACTTAATTTGATCTTAAGTTACTTGGTTTTTGAATGGGAGCTATTTAAGTTTATTTGCAACAATCTTAAAAAACAAATGTAACAAATGTAAAGGGCCTTCAGAGAAAGCAGCTCATTGCATGCATGTTTGTAGCTTCTCAGATAGGTTCTCCAACCTAGAACCTTGATGTTTTTTCCGTCTCCTGGAGGATGGTAGGGGGGTATATGGGTGGGAGAGGGTGTCTGGTTAACATGGCAAGTAACTGGGAGGTGGTTGAAAAAATCTCAACGTGTAGCTGTTGGTCCAACAGTAAAACGTCAGSATTTCTTGAAACGCCTTCCCTGAGTTCAACAGGTTTCTTTAGCAAAGCAGTTTCCAAGCTTTTCTTTCGTTTCAAGCATCACTTCTCTTCAGCACTTTTCTTGGCATACTTAGCTCTACTAACCCCGCTAGGTTCTGCGCAAGCACGCGGTTGAGCTGAACGCAGCACGTCAGTGGGACAGCTGTAACTTCTTAAAAGTTGTTTTACCCAGTTGCCCACCCACTGGACAGGAGCAGCCTTTTGCTTAGGAAACGCAGCTGTAGCGTGTCCCATCTACGCTAGTAGAAACTGTGGCTTATTCCAGCTGTAAAAGCCTCTGGATGTAAAATGTGAACAACTGAGTTTGTCATTTTAGACAAGACACAGAGAAAGTTTTACCTTGCTAGTCTTCTAAAAACTGAAAAAAGCCTGAGCTGGAGTTTCAGTGTCCTCTTAGGACCAATTTTTCTAGGAAAAGAACCCCAATTTGAAAATGAGATAAATCCTCTAAGATAAACTCTGACAAATTATCTATGGTGTATACTAGTTAGGAGTCTAAAAGAGACTGTCCAAGCTACTGGCCATGTTACAGAATTAATTCTTTAAGGTGGAGACTTCGATGTCTGTCTAGCAGTTTCAGTGCAGTGTGGACATTTGTTTGAAGTCTTAATGGGGAACTTTTAATAACCACCGAATTCAAAATTGTATGTCATTTTTTAAAGCAGAATTGAATAGCAATAGTCATGGGGAGATTCTATAACATATAACAAAACTATAACATTGTATTACTGTATTTTTTTCCAGAAAGATTGTGTCTTAAATTGTGTATGGAAACCACTGAATATTTCTGGTTCTAAAGTAAGATACCACAATAYGAGCATACTCAGGGTATGAAAACAAGTGCTCAAACATGTATTTTTGGAACAATTTGTCAGGCAATAGTGATGCTACTTGCAGTATTTTCCAATTAAAAAAAGATGCAGCAAAATTTCCRAGCCTCTGCATTGAATTTTGGCAGCCCAGAATTGTGCACAGATGTGATACTTACTGCTGGTAGAATAAGAAACTCTGACATTTCCTAATGGAGAGAAATGCAGTTCTCATTCCTCTTCTCTCAAGTGAACTGCTTTGTTGTTGTCAGGGAAGTGAACTTAATACTCTTGAAACTATTAGGTATGATACAGGAACAATAAACACTTAAAAAGGAGTTTTAAACCCTTAAAAAAAAGTCTTTAAAAAAGTAAGTTTTGTTGAATTCATGTMATTTGACAAGATCTCAGCACCCCATTATTAATTTATCATTATATGTATGGCAGGCAACCCAAAGTTATCTTGACGAATGTCCTGAGGACGAAAATAGGACGAAAATACGCACAGGTGCAACCCAAAACTGATGCTAATTTTTCTGATGCTGACAAACTGCAGACAAATCAACTGCCTTCATCATCTGTTGCCAGCCTAAAGATATGGCAAATTTTAAATCCTACTCTCCAAAGCCTTTTTCTATCTAAAAGGTATGTTGCTCAATGCTTTTTGCTTCCTGTCACTAAAAAATATTTTTTCTTGCTGTTATTTTGCATGAGAAACTGTTCTTTGTTGTACCGAGGTTGTCTTGTCTCATTCATGGATATTAGTMTCATGCCATCTGACTTGGCTGGATTCCCTTGCACATGGTTTCTTTTGCTGATAATTGAGAGAGATGGTGGCAGGCACGGGGTAATAGGATTTCTGAGCGGTTGGTTTCTAGATGGTGCTTTGTTGACAAGACCAATTTGTTCTCATTCAACTGTTGGACTCTCAAAATGCCCATTTCTTTTGCCTGCAAGCACGCTCTTCACAAGAAATGGCCTGCTGTTCTCTGACAAGGTATTAAAGTATATTCACTGTTATGGTCTGTGACCAGGCACAAAGCTGAGAGGAGGCCTAAAAGGTCAGAAGAAAGGCCAGGCCTATCAAGTCCCGTATTTTCCCCTTTCCTACTCCCTGTCAGGCAGTGCTTAGTTGGAGGTACTTAGGATGGAGATAMGAAACAGGGCATAGGTAGAGTGAGTGGATTTTTTTTTTTTAATTTCTTTTTCTTCTCCCTGATGTTTCTTCCTAGCTGCTGACAGTAGAGATTTTAGGGGCTTCCATTACAGAATCACAGAATGGTTGAGGTTGGAAGGGTCCTCGAGAGATCGTCTAGTCCAACCCCTCTGCTTCAGCAGGGACACCCAGGGCACAGGGCGGCATCCAGGCGGGTTTGGAAGATCTCCAGAGAAGGAGACTCCACAACCTCCCTGGGCAGCCTGTGCCAGGGCTCTGGCACTGTCACAGTGAAGAAGTTCCTCCTCACATGGAGATGGAGCTGCCTGTGTTGTCTCTCATAGCTGGAGACTATGTCCCAGAGAACTGTGTTCTGCATTAGGCTCACCTCCTAAGTCCTAGCCCTGTTGCAGGTCCCYTGCGAACCTCAGCTGCTGCTTGCCCCCATGTAGTCCCTCCCCAAAAAGGAAATCCACCTCTCGGTGCAGCAGGAGGTGCAGGTGCTCCCAGACGTTCCACGCTGCTGGACTGCACTTCAAATATGAGCAAGAGGGACCTTCAGCAGATATCCAGAAGGCAGCAGTGTTCCAASCAGATCCCAGGAAGGCCATGGCATGCACTGGAATCCAGCCTGAATTGCAAAGGAAAGGGTAGAATTTAAAGCACCATTTAAGAAAGAGGGAAGTAAGTGAAGGGCTTCCCCAGCAAGCTGGCTGTGCTTACTTTGTGTCAGATGTGCTGTGTTGCTCTCACGCTTCACTGTTCAAGCAGTCACATTTTCATATTTTGTTTATTCCTAATGCTTGTCCTTTCTAACACCTGCAGATGTTCTTCTGGGCCTTGACATTGCTGTATTCCCCCTACTCTGGCAACTGAGAGGGAAGAAACAAAAGCTATTGCTAAATTTGTGTGTGCTACTTTCTACCTGTTAACCAAGTGCTTGAGGAAATCCAATGTGTTTTACTGGAGGCTTCTTGTTCATAGGAAAATAAAGATTTCCTTGCTCCCTAATTCTTTGTATGTTATGATGTTGCAGCGACTTGAGATAAGGATTTACCTGTAGTAAAATAGTGTTAAGATGATACGTTAGTGGCAATGCACTGTGCATAGTATCTGTTTATGGTGAAATGATGCATCTAGCCTTAAACAAACATTTTCCCTGTTTTCTTGCTACTTATAGCATTYATCTGCTCACCTGGAATTTCAAGCTCCTTTGTGGAGGACTTTTTTTTTTTTATTGTGTGCCTAGAAGATGGAGTGGGAAGGGGGGAAAATAATACTGTTTAATGATGTTGGGGATTATCAAGCCACTGAGATGCACAATTAGAAGTTGCTTTCTCTGAATTTGAGTGCAGTATTTATGATTTATCGTTATATATATGGCAGGCAACCCAAAGTTATCTTGACGAATGTCCTGAGGACGAAAATTGGAAGAAAATACATAGACAGCCACGTAATTATTGATGCTAATTTATCAGATGCTGACAAGGTACAATCAGGTCAACCACCCTCATCATCTGTTGCCAACCTACAGACATGTCAAATATTAAGTCCTCCTCATGAGAGGTCTTTTCTGTCCAAAAGGTATGTTGTTCACTGCTGATTTTACCAGTCTTCCTGAAATAACATGACTTCGCAATGGAAAACGGTTTTGCTGGAACAGTTTTTGAGACTGTCTTGAAACAGAAGTTAAATTTCCTGAATTGGGAACTAAAATACTGCTGCAACTAGCTGTTTTAACGCTGCATTTATTCTTTTTTTTTTTTTTTTGCTGCACCTAATGTTGCTACATTGCTGTTCCTTTTCTAGAAGGAGTGTCCATTCCTAATGAAAGAGTGTTTTTGGTCTATATAAGTGGCCGTTTCAAGTATATTTCAGTTGACTTTGTGTCTAGAACCAAAATTTTGCTCTCCTGTTGCTGTCTTTTTTTTTTTTTTTTTTTTGCTTTCTAGCATGGTTTCAAATAATATCTTTAAAATCCCCCTAAATGTCTATATGTGAGAATTCGTTTCTTTATTCATCCCTCACTGCTCACAAGCACATCTGCAGAGTGCTGCTCTTTGAGAGATTGCTTTGTCGCTGCTTAGAATCTCATTTTTCTCTTTTCTTCCTGTATTTTTCTTGACTGAGCATCACAGCAAAACTTGACATGCAAAATTAGTAGAAATAATTGATTAGAATTATGCAATCCTCATCTTAGCTAAAAGTGGCTGTTGAATTCAGAGTAAGCTGCTGTTTTTTTTCCTTGTCTTCAGTGACCTTCTCTTTGCTTAAAAGCAAAGTATCCACACAGACAAATAGCATGAAATTTTGGGGGAGGAATAATGTGCAATGATAAAAAGTATTAGGAATACAGAGAGAGCTTCAGACCTTTTACACAGGTGTGGAACTAGTTCTGTATTAACCAGGATGAAATGAAGTCTGTGTGTTCTCCAGTTCCATTTGTCTTTCTGGGCTAGACAAGGTCTTGCTCCATTTCAGTAGCTGGTGTGCTGAGCTTGCTGGAGACACGAGTTCATTCACCAAAGGTTAATTTTGTATTTCTGCCATATGCTTTTCTGATATTAACTGTTAGATCTTTTTGCAAGGGTCTGGAATTAGGGAAAAACAGCAAAAGGAGTGTTGTTCCCTCGCCAAGCCCCTCCACAGTGACTAGCACATTAATAAGTGTAACAGATTGCATAGGAAGTAGAGAAATGTAGAAATATCTTTAAAAAACAAAACAGCAAATTGCTTTYGTCTTGATTATCTCCCTGTAGCTGATGCCTGTGCACAGGATATTCTTGGCACTGACTCTTTTGGAGTCTGTCCTGTTGGAGAAGAATAAAAGTCCCCACCTTAACCTTAATATGTCTCCCCCTATAATATGTGTGTATACCTATATAGGTACTCGCACTCCTACTGTTCCTCTGAAAATCAAACCTGTTTTGTGCTCTGGAAATCTCAGGTTAAACAAAGAACTGTGAATGATGGGAATAGCGAGTGATATCAGGGAACTTTGTCTACTGGCTAAAACTTCCTGCAGGTTCCCTGTCTCCTTTCTCCCCATGGATGTTATTCCCTGTTCACTCAAACCCACTGTAAAATGCATTTACTCAAATCACCACTGACCTCTCAGTATGACAAATATTAGGTTCATCTTAAACTCAGGGGTTGTGTGTGTGTGTGTGTGTGTGTTTGCTTCATACTGGTTCATAGTGGTTGTTGAGAACAGTCTATACTTCTATTAGTTTTTTAGGTGAGGTGTGCACCTGTAGAGCAGTGCATGTTAAGCTGAGTTGCCTTGGTGGAGATTAGAAATAAAACATGCAGAGGGTGTCTATGGGCTGTGTTCAGGGTGCAGCTGCAACATTCCTGTTGACGTGTCTGGATTGTGACATTGATGTTAAATGCCAAGAAGCACTTAATGTCGCTGTCTTTTTTTATAATCAGATCAATGTAGTTATGCATACAAATATGAGATGCATATAGTTCCCAAAATCTTGAGTAAGGCTATTCCAGAACTAGAACTGTCCAATCTCTCTCTCTATTATTTTTCATGGTATTTACCTAGTGCTCATTACTGTAGTATCCGAGCACTTTAGAAAACTTTATTATATTTCTCACACAATTCCCCAAAGGCAGTGATGCCGCAACTAACAGATGTGGCACTGAAAAACGAGCATCTGTTTCAAACATCTAAATCAAGGGGTCAGGAAGCTCCTTCTCCCGGCGTGGGTGGCGTTCTTGAGAGGCCCGAGCTCGGCCASCGGTGCCTTTGCCGTCACTATGTAGCACTTGGTAAACTGGCCTGCGAGATTGTACATTGACCCTTATCTAAAATGATGCAAGCAGAATCACTGGGGCTTAAGTGAAGTGACAGAAAGGAGTGCAGAAGATTTTCCAGAGCAGCATTATGCAATTTTATCTGTAAAATATTCCTTTATTTTCTTGTTTTCTTCAAACTGCCGCAGCAAATGAAGCCGACACCATGCAGGTTGGGTTCTTTTTATCRGTGTAGATCTGCTCAGAAGTCTTGTGCACTGAATGTAGTTAAATTCCTGTGTGAGAATATCATGTGACCACATAATTAAGTGTGGTATCTTGGTGCATACCCTTGTAACCAAAGTACTTATAGACTTTTGTTGCCTGTAATTAACCTTTAGAGAAATCAAAAGAGTGTGTATGCAGGGTCAGACCTCAAATGTAAATATATCATAGTGTTCAGTCTATCAGTACCACTTAGTATATTGATTTTTTCTTTGTTACATTTAAAAAAACAAAGTAGGAAAAGTAGAGAAAAATACTTTTTTTGTTTTTATTGCATGTCCTTTTTTAGAATGAATTTATGAGCTCAGCTGATACCTTGTAGTTTTCCTTTCTGTAGTTCTCCTCCTCTTCTTTCTCTTCCATCCCCATTTACATGGTTGTTGTTTGGGTGGTTGGTTTGTTCCCCCCAGCTCCTCCTCAAGTTACTGTTTCAGGCTGCTTTGTTCAGGGAATCACACTTCAAATCTCTCATTATTTAACACAGTGAATTTTCCTAGCAGTTTAAATCTAGATTGTAAATACCCTGTGTTGCGTTATTCCCACCACATAGATGGAGAAAGCAAAGACAGAACCAACTAGCTGTCATTCTCCTTCTTTCTTCTTCTTGTTACATGTTCCTGTCACATTTACGCTTTACAGCAAAATAGTATTTCAATTTCTGAAAAGTGTTGCATTTTCAATAGAATTTCCAGCATGTCACATTTTCATCCATTGCATCTTTTAGAAGTATCTGTTGTATTAATAACATCAGAGTATCTAACTGACTATTTCCATAATGAGCTGAATTAGCCTGCACTTCGTTAACATAAGCGTCACACGTTCAAGAGAGAGGCAATAGTTTGTGTCTCTTTCTTTTTCCTGGGATGAAAATTCAGTATTCTTTCAGAATAAAAGATAAGTCATAGTTAATGTTCTTTGCAGGAATGAGTGTTGCCTGAGAAAGACAGACGATGGCCTGTGTAAAATGATCGAGCCTTCTAAGGAATCAGAAAGCAATAATTTTGTCGTCACTTTGAGGAAACGTGAGCTACAGAAGAAAGGTTTGTAGTGAGCAACAATCTAGTGTTTTGCTATAAAAGYTTTTTTGGGGATGGAAATGTTTAACTAATTATAAGAAGAGCAAGAAAAAAGAGTAATAGAAGATGCTGCAGACAGGATGTATGTTTCTGTAAAATGCAGTATTTACAGATGTAGGAAAATATATCAAACGACTAAAGCTGTGCTTTAAAATCATAATAAAGCCATGATGACTCAGGTATATGAACGAAAGGAGGTTGAAATGAGCTTCACTGTGTCATTACTGTAATGTTCCTTTACAAAAAGAATGGAATATATTAGAATACTCGAATGGTTTGGGAAGCCTGCTAAAATGCCCATGCTAAACAACAATATTCTTATTTGCCCCTGAAAAATGAGCTCTATGATGACCCTCTAGAGGTGAATGTACCGTCTTTGTAAGATTGTTTAGCAATATTTGAGAATTTGAAAAGAACTTGTGGAGAATTGTGTCCAGCAGAAGCTGCAGGGAGGACTGTGGAATACAGAATGTTAATTGTTATTTAGGAGCTATGAACTTCTTTATACCCCTATATTAAATATTTTTACAGCAGTTATCTTTACCTAACTGTTTTAGTTAATATACTCTGACAAGCTCACACAGTTTAACAAAGGAAGAACTCTCACTTCTGGAAGTTGTCTGCTTAAATGCATTTTATTTAGACTTATCAWTTAAGAATGAATACRAAGGTTTTTTGAGGTTAATCCATTAAATAACTTTGCTCTTTTTCCCTTTGCTTTTCTTTYTTTTTTCATGTTTTGACATAGAAAATAAGAACTGTGTGGAGGAAGAGGGTAAGAGGAACAAAAACATGAACTCTGTTGGTTGGAAGGGATCAGACTCTGCTGATTCTGAGAAAAGGAAAAGAAAACTTAGTGATGACCATAATGCCCACMTTCCAGAAAAATCGCTTCTGCCACCTGTAAGTTATCCTTAATTTTAACGCATGTGGACACATATGCACACACACTTTCTTACTTTAGCAGCAGCAACATCCAAAATGCAGGAACTGTAGTGGTAATCAGGTTGTCTAAGGATACCTTTATCCCTGTTGCAGCAGGGGAGAGCAATGTTGAGGTGGGAAGCGGGGTGGACATGTGTGCTCCTTTCCCCTGCATGGGAATATGCCTGTTGTAGCTGGAAGGCAAGGAGAGGTGAATGTCTGTGGCCTTTCAGACAGGAGCATGGAACAAATTGTTTAGGAAATACAGCATCAGGCTGCAGARTTAATGTTTCTTTCAGAGATGGTGTGAAACTGATTTAGGGACATTCAAACAAAAATTATTAAGTATATATGGGGATTTTAAATCTGGAAGAGGGTATCTTCCTCCTTCCTCTTCAGCCTATCATGCTGTCTCCAAAAGTGTTAGTCTGATCTGTCACTAGGGTTTTGGGGAGGAAGAAAAAAGAGAGAGAATTAGTTAAGACGAGAGTTTTACTCAAGCATTTGAGTATGATAAAGGTGTATGTGTTAACTTGTTTCTAAAAACCCGCTGGTGTAGGTGGTAGGTACAGAGTCCTGTTCACCTGGTGGACAAAGCCATACATTTTCAGAGTAAAGATAATTGCCAGTTCTTTGTTTTTCAAGGTCAGACTTAAAAGGAGTTTCTGAAAGACAGATACAGTTTCTTACTCAGTTTGAACAGGGAACATATTATTCTTTTAAAAGTTCTTCCTCTTACCTTTGTGTAATAACCTCTGAGATAGCGAGAGGAATTACTCTGACTTTGAGCTATAAAATACAGCTGCATTAAGCACTATTTTATCTAGTACATCACAAAGCCTCAGCGGTCGCTGATCTGAACTATCATAAGAAGGTCAAGAAATAAACGTATGCCCAGTTTCTGATTTCTGTCTTCTAGAAGGAGCAAAGATCAAGTTCAGCTCGRTCTCCTGGCTGCAGAAACCTCCGTGAGGATCAGCAAGGTCGCGGGACTAACCTGGAGCAGGAGCCCGTTCCCCAGCTGCTGGGGACGGGTCGTAAAGACGCTTCCACCCAGAGCCATTTCAGCTCTGCTCACGGCTGCGCAGAGGTGCCCGGCGCAGAGTCCCCTCCCAGAAACTTGTTGGAGAAGCAGCTTCCTGCCAATGCCAAGGCTGCGGATTCACCAGGAGTCAGCGCCCTCGGGGAGCGCAGCGGGGACCCGGCGTGGCGACCGGGCGGGCTGCGGAGCAGAAGCTGCAGGGGTAATCGGCCACTTGTTTCACTTGAGCCAAGTATGTACTGGGCGAGGGCTGCCGGCAATTACCCCGGGAGTGTGGTTTTCCCAGGCAGAGAGGGAAAATGGGAGAACCGTTTGAAATGTATGGAACAGGAGGTTGATGACAAAGAACATATGGCGTGTAGCATGTTGTGCAGTGCTCGCTATAATGAGGATAGAGGGTCCTGTACTCCAGATGCAGCATGAGCAGAAGGATTTTCCAATTCCAGTTTGAACTCTGCAGCTGACTTTAGTGACTTTGGCCGTGTAAGTTTGTATCTTTAATGATATTGAGAGAAGTATAAGCTCTTTCTGAAGCCACAACTTACCTGCCTTCCAGTCACCCAAATAAAACTTTGAGGACCTTGGCTGTAGAGAAGTTAGGAAGCAGTGCTGTTTGTTATAGCCACGGGCCAGGTGGGGCGATGTYCTTTGTGCTAAAGGAGAGCGCACTCTTTGCTCATCTGAAACTTGCAATGTACAAAATATTCTTAAACCTGCATCCTGTAGTATATGTATACATTTTGCTGTTTTGTTTTCCTCTTTAGTTATCCTTTCCAGTGATGATGAGGATGACTCTTCKGAACCAAAATGCACAGAGCCACTGCAGGATGATATAACTGATAATCGAGAAATAGACCATGAGTCTGATTTACTTTTCTCAAAAATGCTATTGGAAGACAGGGTGGAAAGTCGCACAGAGCAGGTAGTGTAATTTTGGCCTGTGAGTTGTTATGCCAGTTCTTTAATTATTTGTGCAATACACGTTAGAACACGAGAGAAACACTTAGAGCAGATATGATCAGTCCTAGCAACAAGCAGTAGCTGTAGTAATTTATTTCAGAGGGCATTCTGGACAGTCTTCAGAGAAAACTTCTGGTTGTGACGTTTGAATGGTTTTGTAACTTATGTATTTTATATTTCAAAAATAAACATTTTGAAAGTATTTTATAATACAAAACAGGAAAGGTTAAGTAGTAGCCTGGACTAGAACTGGACAGGATGGAGATACTTCTCTTCCCCCCGCCCCCTCCCCCACACACTTTTTTTGCTGTTCATTGAAATTCAAGCCGGTAGTTTTTTCTTGTCATCTAGTTTTCTCTTGTGTAGTTCAGTGCACATAGAAACTTAAGGATCTTTGTGAATAGCAGAAAGGGATAGGACAAAATTGTTCCCTTTCATGAGTATCAATATAATTTGAACCTAAAGCTATCTGTAAAGGTTGTTGCCCCATTTTGGACTTTGTGAGCCTTGTGTTGCTATATTTGACCTGGATTTTGGTTATCTCTAGTTCCAAACCATGTCAAAATAGCCACGGCTGCCTCTTCCCAATACACTGCTGTAAAGTAGGCATCCTGTGCCTTTAATATCAAAAGGGAGGATTTTTTCCCTTGCTCTGTTGGTTTTCACGTGAGTTTAGATTGCTAAAGAGCACAGGTTAAGCTTTGGCAGTATGGAGTTCAGACTGGGAACGAGCTAGTGTTCAGCCCTTGAGAAGTGGATAACCTACAGCTTTCACCATGGAAGTTTTTACATTTAAGTTAAATGTGGGAGTAAATTCTTACAAGAAATTTACRAGAAAATTCCTAAGATTACAGGAGGGAAATGTTTCATTCAAAGCCCTGTAATAATAAGAGCTGTTTTGTTTTACAGATTTTGATGGAGTCAAATGAAACTAAATGTCCTGTCATGTTACCTTCTGATAGCATACCTAGTGAAGAGAAAAAAAGAGCATTGGAGATTGCTTTTGCTAGTTTGTACATTGGGAAGTTTAAATGGCCACCAACAAGTCATGCTAGGGTAAGTTGCATTACTATGGTGCCACTTTGAGATTGTTTAGAAATGAGTTAGAGGAATTCTTGTGCCGTAGTGAAAACATCACATAGAGATCTCCTAAATGTGCCAAAATCATTTGAAGCAGGGGTAGAAATATCTTTTAAAGTAACTCTTAGGTTTTTAAGTGTTTTTATAGAARATTTTATCTTGGAAAAAATGACTATTTTTGTGCTTAGTGTGGTGAAATAAGTTTTCAACAAACACGACAAACTTCAGCCAAAATGACAAAAAGCCCCACCTTATTTAGCTAAGTCTTTCTTTTAACACAGTGGCAGTGTACGCACTAACCTTAAGGGTTTTTAATTCACAAATTTAGCAAGATAACATTCCAATATATGTTTAACTAGTCTTAGCTCAAGCAGTGCAGTTGTCAGTCTTTATCCTGGGAGGCTGAACCAACAGGCTCCTCCGCTCTGTTTTGCCATCTGAGCATTCGTCACTTCCCCTCTCAAGGAGTCTGCAGGCAGCTCTGTGCAGTTTGCTTCTTTCTCCGTGCTGAACCTCTGTGCGAGTCAGCTTGCTGTCATTTAGGTTCTCTAGTGGGGACTGAGGAGGRCTGGGGTAAGTGAAATAGTGTTGATTGCGCTCTTAGATTAGCCATTTCGTTTTTCAGTTTGTTTAGCTGTAAGTTGATCATTAAGAATTCTTACTTGGTTTGTTTTGGTCAGTTTGTAAAAAGCAAGCTAATTGTTTTTAACTTTATTTCAGTTTACGACCAAGCATATTACGATCCCTTTTCAAGGTAAGAATTTTGTTTCTTTGTCTTTCTCTTAACCTTACAAATACAGTATGAAAATGTTCTGTATATGTTGCTATCTTGAATATTTTATTTTTTTATTTTATTTGCTCTGACAAARACATTGAAGCCTTTTTAAAATAAAAATTTATCAATAAATAAAACTTGGTGTCTAGTATGTAAATATTAATAGTTTAACCGCTTCTTACACTTTTAAGGTGAGCTTATTTTAAGAACTTTGCAATTACAATTTTGCATATTTAAGTGATAAATTTTGATAAATATGACTTTTATATTTGAGATGAAATAYCAGTCTCTTGAGATCAGAGGTTTAGGCCCTCTGGTATTTTAAATGAAAATGTGCAAGCTGCCTAAGCCAAGAAGAATGTAATTGTAGATTTGCAGTTTTCCAAAGGTAACATGTGATAATGTTTGGGAGTAATTCTGAATTGAATGCCTATTTCATTCCATCAATCCATCTGTCGTGACTTAGAATTTTTTTTTTTTGTATATATGTAGGAATTAACTGAGATTATTCTGAGCAAAAATATGATTTTTTCGTGAAGGATTATCTACTTATGTTTATCTTGTGATGATACAACTTGATAACTATGTTTTATATCGTTTGGAAAGAGTGATTTTAAATATTAAGTTCTACGAGTATTCAGTATAATGGCAGGAGTAAAATCACAATAGTTTTAATATACTTTGATCATACTTGCACACTAATAATTATGTAGTATGCCTTTATAATTATCTAAGACTGTCTAAGGCTTGTTTATTTTAAATCCTGTTTTCTACAGTGGCTCTTAATAAGAATATTAAGCTGACAGTGGATACTCTGGATCTGAGAAGGTTTGGTCTGTGGAAAAGTGACGGTGGCTCTTCAAGGACRATCATTTTCCTTTGGTTGTCTGCTGATTGTGTAGAAAAGATTGAAACACAGCTGGGAAAATCTGTTTTCTGCAAGTCATGTGAGTAATCACTTTTCCTAAGCATGCTGAAAAGGATGTAGTATATAGGGTTATTTTTAAAGGGTTATTTTGTACTTTTTGTACTTGCACTTCTGAATATTGAGGAAAGCTTACTTTTTTTTTTTAAAAAAAAGGCCTTTTTTAAAAATGCCTTTTTTTAAAAAAAAGCCTTTTTTTAAAAAAAACCTTTTTTTAAAAAAAAAAAAAGATAAAGGCTGATCAATTTTGTTTTTTCAAAATACCTTTCTCTTCTTTTCTTTGGAAGAAGAGCATAATGTGATTCAAAACAACTGCCATTTACTGGATTTACTTTTTTTTTTCCTCGAGCGAAGCTGTGTAATACCTGAATATAACTTTTGCTCACGTATTCAAAGGCTAGCACAATCCCACAGTATTTTTACATTAGCAAAATGTTTACTACCAAATGCCCTCTACTTGTAGTTATGATGTCAGAGTTGGCTTTGTGAAATTTAAGTTTCAACCTACACTCACTAAACTTATGGGAGGAAAAAAAAGTTAACTTTTTCCCAAGGAACAAGAGCTGTTTAAAGACTGAATTGAGTGTCAGCAGTGAGCTTCCTTTGCTTTCCTAGATCTATGTTTATCAAGTTATTAGTGGTTTTTCTAGACAAAGTTCTCAGTCAAAAGAGTGGAAGTCAAGTCTGAAGCTGCAGAATATCTTAAGATTAGGTTTATTTACTTTGATTACACTCTTGGCCTATGGGAAACCTCCAGGAGTTGCTATTAAATTTCYATGCTTAAGCTCTTTATGCTTTTTGAATATGCATAGTAATGTAAATCTTCTAAACTGTTCACAGAGACTTGTTGAAACAAATTTGAATGGTAGTTTTACAGTTTATGTAAAAAGTTTTCTATGGTTCTGTTCTGCCTTCTTAGTGTGCTAATGCTCTTTCCTCTTTTTTTTATTTTTTTATTTATTTTTTATTCCTTCCAGCCAAATCTAGTGAATTTGTTTTTCTTGAACTGTCCCAGCCACTTGCAGAGTGGGAAGAAGTTAAACTCACTGAGTTAATTGCAGATGTGAGCAAGAAGAACAGAGCACCAGATCTCTCCGAGGCTTTGTCTTTGAAGCAAGCCTTCCCTTTGTTCAAGGATCTTTCTGCTGAAGAGAGCTCTTTTATGAGTTACAATAAGAGCCTACTTAGGCAATGTATGCCCAAAGACAATACCTCCAGTGTGCATGAGCCTGCATTTCAGGTTAGTGAGTAGTTGTTGCTTGCCATCTTTTGGAATTCACGAGTTACAGTAAATTTTAGATGAGCCAGATRCCCAGAATAAATTCTTTCTTTATCCATGGCTAAAAGAAACAGTCACATTTGTGATTTATCCCTTAGTGTGGCATGGCTGAACAGCAAAATGCTAGATTTAACAGTAAAGTGCCCATGGAAAGATGGTACAGAGGTGTTCTCAGCACTGGCAAGTGGAAAATAATGAATTTTTGGTTGATTCATGGCTCTGTGTGCCTATAGCCACACAATTGCACCTCTCATGGTGTATCTAGGGTGGCAAGTTGAGAGTAAATGAATGTAGGGGTGATGGAAGCTTGTTTCCCACCTGAGCTCTGTGTAAACTGGGTGCAGCAGAGCAGAGGCAGTAGCGTGCCTAGGAGGAGTAGTGCACCTTTGCCATTCCAGATAGACTTTTTGATTGTTTTTGTGATTTTATTTTATAGGTCTAGTTGTGTAATCCTTTTTCATTATTTGTTTTTTTTATTGGCAGGAATCGAAACCAAAAGTGTCCAGGCCTAGTTATGCCCTTTCAAATAAGCAGAATAGTGGTTGCTATTCCATTTCTCTGTCCTCTGCACTGAATGATGAGTGGAAAGAAGTAAGAGAAGCTGGAGCAGTTAAGAAGTATGTATCTTAAATGGGGAGGTGAAAATAAAGCAAACTGAATAAAAAAAGTGCTGGAAGAAAAGTCCTGTCTTAATTGCAGTTGATTCGAAAGTGTTGGGTGACATGCTTTATATAATATAAATGCTATAAAAATATAAAATATATATGCTATATACGTGTACAGTGTTACTGATTATGAATATAATCAATATACACAAATATAAAATATTTTCTTTTATTACTCTGTCACAATTATAGCTATTTATATAATACAGTTTATTAGTAGAAGACCTTGGTTAGCAAACATTTTAGCGAATTWAAGCACATGAATGTGTAATGTAGCAAGAAGCTAGGAGATGACCAATTTTGTGCCTTTTTTCTGTCTGTATGAATCTTATTTCTTATACTTTCAGTATRTCAAACAGTACCTTGCTGTTAAGTGCTCCTGCAGTTTGCTGCCCCCGTTTTTGCTGGCAGGGTAGCGCCTGGGGTTTGGGTTCTGCTCCAAAAGTTTCTGCAGTGGCAGAAGTGCTCAGTTCATAGTTCCAGTTAAGTGTCATGGACGTTAGTCTGGACTTCTTTGAATATGTTGTGTTAGCTTTGGGCTCAAGTTGGGCAGTTCCACTTGGACTTAGAGTGCCTGTGCTGCAAAGAAGCAAAGTCTCCTACTTGGAAGTGTGAGAGCCCTCACTGGAATCTTAACTGATAGGAAATCACTCCACATTCATACTCATTGAATGAGTACAGATTTGTCATGTAGCATTTATTCCCATTTTATACAGCCATATTTATTAAAAATAAATAAATAAAAGCTGAAGATAAAGAATTTAAAAAAAAGCAGTTTGCCATTTTAACAATGTGATCTGTGTTTTCTAGTTTGATTGTTTATCCACCTCCACCTGCAAAAGGAGGCCTGGGAGTCACAAGAGAAGATCTGGAGTGCTTGGAATATGGAGAATTTCTTAATGATGTCATCATTGATTTCTATCTTAAGTAAGTACTTGGAGATTTAATTCTCTTTTTTCAGAGGCTTAATGTACTCTTGAATGTAGATGTTGATCGTTAATTGTGATATAACTGTTTTAAAAAGAACATGATGAAATTGTATGGGTTTGTTTAAGCCTTTGAGTATTCTCATTAGTTTCATTTATTTCAGTTTCATTTTTGTTGCCCMTCTAATAGGCTTCAATGTTCTCCAGACAAAGCACAGTAACTGCTGTTCCTGCTTGAGAAGTAAATACATTTTAATTATGTCCATCTTCACGCTAAACCTGCAGTCCTTGGTATTGTACAAATAATTTAGCTAGGACAGGGAGAGTTCCCGCCCACCCCACAAGGCCTAAAGCATTAGGAGTTGTGGATTTTCAGTAGCTCAGTGCCTCATTCCTGCTTGTGGGTCACTATAGCTTAGGGAGGTAAAAAAGCTCATGAGGATTTCACGGAATGGAAAGTACAAAGCAGTTTTAAGCAGGCAGATGAACAAAATAGGGGATCTATACTGAGTGGTTCATTGCTAAGTTTGCATGAAATGGACCATCCTCAACTTCTCTGTGCAAGAGTTCAGGAATCCTTCTGATGTACAGACACTGTAAAGAGGACAGAACATGCAGCTTGTACCTGAGTGTCTGATGTGGCTTTAGAGCAAAGCCCTTTTTATGCAGCTCTAAACTAGAAATAAGTTTTGTAGTATGATTCCCACTCTTGATATAGCTTCATCCTAACAGGAAGGTTTAAATAAATAAATGTTTACATTCCTTTATTCCTTTACATCTGCTTTTTAAATGTTAGACTTGTGCCCACATTCTCAGTGCTCATTGTGTTGCAAGTTGTGTAATGGGTAACTGCTGCCCAAGTTATCAGGTGAGGCTGGAACACCTCAGGTAGGATGGTGACAGATCAACAGTAAAGCCATAAACCTCTAGAATGTCTCTTCTAGCCTTTACATGCATAGCATATAAAAGCAAAAGGGGCAATTTACACTACTGAGGTGTTCTGTGCTTTTTGCATGTTCGGTAAAATAATACTGCATGAGCTTATTCTTGGACAGGTTTTCAAACTTATCTTAATTCCAAGGGCTGGAAGCATAACTGAAAATAAACAAAAGCCTTAGCAGTGAAACACAAATCTGAGGTAAAGGGTGAGGTGACTGTGTTCTTAGTAATTGTTTGGTATTTGTATACTGTGGTAATGTACATTCACATGYACATTCAAAATGCAGTAAATGCCTTCACGTCAAGCTTTGCTAAGCTGTCAAGACAACTGAGGTAAGCCTAACCTGTGGTGATGAGTCAGGAAATAATTACACTTCTTTTATGTTAGGAATGGTAGTTTTTTAGAATGGGAATTGATGGATTTATTTTTTCTTTGGTAGATACCTCTTGTTGGAGAAAGCACCAAAACACCTTGCTGACCGTACGCACATTTTTAGCAGTTTCTTCTATAAGTGCCTCACCAGGACAGAGAAAAACTCTGAGGGAGATCCCAAAGTTACGTAAGTTGGCTTTATTGCTACCTATGCCCTAATGATCAGAGCTCGAGAATCTGTTGCTGCTATTCGGAAGTTCTGTGGATTGTATTCTAATTAGCACCTAAAATAATATATTGATATTTTCCAAAATTGTGATTAAATGTCGTAACTCGTGCTCAGTTCCTTCTCAGTGCTTATGTTTGAGTTTTACCACTTCACTGAGTTATCTGGCAGCTGCTTTCAATCTGTTATCATCGCTCAGCTTATTGACGATTTTTCCTGTTGTCAGAAGTGATTTTTCTCTTGCTTTTCCTGAAGTCCCCAGGTTTTGGGGACTTTCAGCCAGCRGGGCCACCTGCAAGTCCAGTGTGCCATCTTATTTCTGTGCTAGGCAAACTTTTCTGGGCAAAAGTTAGAGATAAATGCAGCTTCTGTGGTATTTTTGAAGAGCTTCAAAAAGCAGGGAGCCATCCTTGAATGTGTCTTCCGTCCGTTTTTGTGTCTGTCTTCTGACCGTGAATGTTCTGAGGAGAAGACACTGTTATCCTTTAGGGTACTGTTATGCCCTGACCTGATTCCTRCTGCAAGGCTGGACTGGAGTCCTTACCTTCTTCACAGGAGAAGAATGGCACTAATGTATCATATTTCAAGGAGTCTAGCTGCTGCAAATCAGGAGATACAATTCCCCAAGCTGCCTTTGTTTAGGGTTAGATGTTTACTCTCTGAATACAGTTTTAGAAGCATGCATACTGGAAAAGCAGGCTCCAAATTGTAATAATTAATAGCTCTAGGTGTAGTCTACTTAGCTTGAAGTCCTTTTACTTTCTTTTCTCCACACAGCTTAGCTAGTGARGTAAGTTCTGTTGTGCTCCTTTCACAGATGCTTTTCTAGGTTGTAAAAGTGCCTTCCCCTGTTATGTTCCCTGTGCTTCTAAGAGCACGTAATAGAAAACTTGTGCAGATTTCCTCTGTTCACACTGCCCATAAAGAGGCCTGCAGTAGCTTGCTTTTGCATTCTCCTTTCTGTCTCTTCTGTTCCATTCCTCCCATAGTCAAGTTGCATGTCCCAAGCWTGGCCCAGGATTTCATGAGGATGGCACCAGAGAGTGTCCCCTGATTAAAACGAACTTTGCATTTGGTGGACACTGCAGCAAACTTCATACCAGCAGTTATCATTTATTCTTGTGCAAAGTAAAAAGTCTGTGTAATCTAAATTTTTCCTGGGTTTTTTTTAGTCCCTTATCTCATCCTCATACTTTGTCTGTAGAACTATAAAGGGAATGTGATCCAACGGAGCAGGTAAAGGCCAAGACTGGAGAAAATCTGGTTTTTAGTTCTGACTTTGCTATAGGTGGGCTGCTGACCCTATATAAGGCATTTGGCTTTTCCTTCCAGCGATAAGGTGGCTCAGGCGGGCATTCCAAAGCGGTATTCTGAATTAGATGTTTGGGTGTTGGTATGGATCAGTGGCAGATATTCTGGTGGGCCTTTCTGCCTTTAGTGCAGTCTGATACCCTGACTAAATAATTGCAGCGAATCTTTTCCAACCTCRAAACCTGTGGATATTTTATACAAAGGATTTCAAGGTAGTTCAGGTGATGCGAACATTCATATCAGTCTGCTTGGCTGGTAAGTCACTTMGGCTTAATATTCTGCTGATTTATTTTGTCTGGGAAATTTCAYGAATAAATGAAAAAACTCTGTTAAAGGATAGGGGAAAAACAGGATTATCAATCCCTATACCTTACTTTAACTACTTACAAATCCAAGTAGTAATTGTCATTTGATTTCCACAGAGCAGCACAGAGAAGACACAAAAGAGTAAGAACGTGGACTCGTCATATAAACATCTTCAGTAAAGATTATATATTTGTGCCTGTGAATGAGGAGTAAGTCTGTGTGATTTTAGATGCATTTTTCTGTTGGTTAAAATAAAAAAAAAAAAAAAATTAAATCACTGAGAGCTACATATGCAGAGAAGTTGTAGACACAGACTGGGCTTGGGACATGAAATACCTTCAAGTATATTCAAAACTGGGGTCTTTGTTACAGATGATTTTGTCACTTTATTATTTCTTCAGTGTCGAGTAGGTGGTGAGACAGTGACAAATTACTGTGGTGGGTTTGTCTTTTTTTTTTTTTTTTTTTTTTTTAAAGGAATTACTACTAAATCTTGCAGTTACACCCAGTAAAATGCAAAGCCCAAATATCTGGGAGGACTTGTATGAGATGCTGCAAAAGAAATGGTAATGGCAACACTGGTTCCATAGCACAAAACAGTTGCCAATGAGCTCTCAGTGCTATAAAAACTCTTCACCTGCTTTTCAGAACCAAATGTTACAATTTTGCTGCTTTTCCCTGTCTCCTTGCTGCTGGGCAGGTCTCATTGGTACATTGCAGTTATCTGTTTTCCGTGGCTGGAAGAAGCTGTATATGAGGAATGTCCCCATCAGGCCTCATTTGATGACCAGCTTCAAGAATCTGCACTTCAGTCAGAAAAGGAGAGTTGGAGCACTACAGCCAGTTCAGTGTTGGTCTTTCCTGGTAACTGCAAGGATGGAGAAATGGATGCAAACAGACGCTTATTCTCAAAAGGTAGGTGATGACACCAAGCCATAAATASTTCTGGTAGTGCCTTAATCCAAGGAGAGATGTGATGTCTTAGAAAACATCTGAAATGAAAGATSAGCGTACCGTGTTCTTGGGTTACCATGCATTCTTGCTTTCTGCAACCCTTAGGAAATCAATGGAAGGAACATGTGAAACCAGTGGCTCAATCCTATCACAATATTTTTAGTACTAATAATCTTCACGATTTTGAAAATAGAAAATTCTTAAGTTCTTAAAACTTATGTTTTGTTTGTTTTTGTTCTAGGTGACAGTGATGTTGCTGCAGTTCTGCACCCAGATATTTCTCAAGTAAGTACCTTTCTGTACTAGCAGAGGAGACTTCTATTACTCTGTATTACTTCCTAGGAATCTAATACTTGAACAAATTTCTTTTCATTATCTTGTGGTGCAGCAGCTGCTGCTGTTTTTGCAGCATGTGCTAGGCAGTTTGAGTTAGCCTGAAGTCCTTCTTGGTTAATCCAGATTACCTATGCTATGGCTTTACTTTTTAAAATTTCTTATCAATTTCTCCCTTTCCAAAGTAGGAACCAGACTTGCTTTACCTTTAAATCTGTGAAGACCTTTGAATTTTCACTTGTAGTTTTTTAAAGTATTTTTTTATCTCTTCCTAGAACTCTTCAATTAATTCCAGAAGGCAAATTTGTAAAAGGTAAGTTTCTGTTCTTAAGCTAACATTATATATTTAAAGAGTTTATACTACTAAGAAATTCTACAGTAATTAAGTCAGTTATTTGTTACAAAACCATAAGTGTAGAGGTGTTTAAAAAACCATAAGTGTAGAGTGAAAGGTTCAACTGCTCTTTTTTGCTTTCATTGTTTACAGGCCTTGTATACTCGTCTTAGATTCTTTAAAAGCTGGCTCCTGGCAGAACACAGTCCAGGTGTTGCGAGAGTAAGTACCTGCCGTTCCCCTTGATTAGAAAGGGTTGTTCTTGGTCAGATTTTTAATGTTCAAAATACTGTTCCTTAAAGGTATGCACTGCAGTGCACACTTAAAAGGAAAACCTACAAATAACCACCAAAAAAAAMCAAACAGAAAAGCAGTATGGTGGTTTGGATGACAGTATTGGTTTTGTTCTGCAGCCTAGCAGTAATGTAAAAATTAAAAGCAAAATTCTTTTTAAAATTGAAAAAAAAAAAAACGAGAAATAGATGGAGGGTTTTCTAGAGTATTTTTTGTTTGTTTGTTTTTTGTCCCCTGCAGTGTTTAAGAGCAGAAATAGCAATTCTTTAAAAGCAGTACTTCAAAATTTAAATGATTAATTTTCCAAAGTGCTGCCTATGGTATCCCAATGTAGCTGACAGAATTCCTGCGCTGAATCTGCTCCTACATAYGTGCAAAAGTGTAGTATATGAAGTGAAGTTGTGTCCATATAGTTATATGGAATGTTACTATGTGTTTTGAAAAGTGGGAATAAAAATATACTTGTAGTTCTTATGCGATAAGTATTTAAKTACTCAAAGAATGGATTCAAACTTTCAGTACTTGAACACACTACCAAAAACTTTAACTTCCTTAAAAAAAAAAAAATTTATAAAGTTGATAATATTAAGTAGTTGACAGTAAAATTAATTGTTCTTTGTCTCTTATTGTATTTGCTTCACTGATAGGAAAAAAAAGATCATGTAAAAGTAAATTCATATAATACTCTGTTAGGAGTGGATGGTAATTAGTAAATTTTGTGGCACAGTCTTTTCCCTAGACTTTCCCATCTGTCTTGGGGGGGAAAGAGTGACCTGGCAATTTTTTTCCCATGTCTCTATGGGATATATTAACATAGTGCTCCATGCTTTCAGCTACTACAGGGAGTAGTATAATTGCAGAGAGGGTGGTTTCCTTGAGTTCAGAGAGATGTCTTCAAAAGTCAGGGCAAAAAGAGGTGACTCCTGGAAGCCTGATATGTGTGAACTTTGGGAAATTGACCTATTATTCCTTCAGTTTGAAGGGAAAAAAAAATCACTTTGCAGTTGCACTCTGAGAGTAGAATTCTAAGGAAACACTTTTTATTTATTTTTTATTTTATATTATTTATTTTTTATTTTACAGTCTTTTTATTACTTCTCTTTTCCCTTAAGCCAATTTTAGGCAAAGATTTTAGGCAATTTTTGCCTTTAGGCAAAGATCAGTTTGGAAATAAATTTATTTTCATGTCTAAAATCATTAATACAGGAAATGTGCTTCACTGATCTCTCTTCATCTTGAATTCAATCTCATGCTTGTTTTCTATTCACAAGTGACCTTGTTCTCAAAAGCTGTTGGAGTGTTATGTATGTGTTTTTATTCTTAGAAGGCTTGTAGAAATCAAACACGAGATCCAACTTGTGTATTTTTATATGTGTATTTTTATATATGTAGAACTTGAAGAAGCTCAGTGCAATGACTTTTTTATTTTAATGAAGTTAGGCATCTCTCCTGTTTTATGTACTGTATGCATTATATGGAAGAGTTGCATCTTGATGTAATAAAATTTTGGRGTTTTAGTAAAATTGTGCTGCTTGYTTATATGAATTCCTTTGACAGATTCTATGAAGGAAATAGGTTAAGGCTGTGATAATACTGTGACCAATTCCAGAAGAAAATCGAGCAACACCCCAAAATGCCCTGAACTGGGAAGTTTTCTTAAGTATTTAATCTGTTTGCCTTCCTTTACAGGTATCTGGAAGCAGAATGGGAAGCTAAACGAAAAACTCGACGGGAATTCAGTAAATCAACAATGCTGGACTTCTGTCCCAGAGTGCCTAAACAGGATAACAGCAGTGACTGTGGGGTGTATTTGCTGCAGTATGTGGAAAGCTTCTTCCAGGTACAAATGGAAACTACCTCCCCCGCTCCCCAAAACAAACCCAAACGTTGTTTCTGAGTGAAATATCCAGACAGAAAAGCCTGTGATGCTCAGGCTTTGTTAAGTGTTAAAGCCGTCTGAGAGAGAGAAGATAAAATGCATTCTTCATGTAGTAGCAGGGGTCCTTATGTCTGGAGCACGGGCAGTTTCTGTTCTGCCATTTTGTGTCCAAGTATTTCTGGCCTTGTGGTTTAAGGATAATTGACATATTGAGGGACTTTAACATATGGGCATATTTGAAGCCCATGTGGTTTTCATGTTTCCGACCTGCAAGGGGCTACAAGAAGAGATGACCTGCATGAGAAGTTCCCTTTGTACCACTAAAATGTGCTCAGCTCCTGTATTGGCCTTTGTGTGGYTTTGTGTAGGTGGCAAACAGAAGGATAGGGAGATCCTCCAAAGGGAATGGGCAAGGYAGAGGGTCTGTGTTTCCTTCCTGTCTAGCACCCTGGCCTAACATCTGCCCCTGCTGGATTTGAGACACTTTGTGTCTCCCCAGGTCTCCTTCACCCCCATGAGTGCTCTTGGCTGCCCTGCCTTCCTGTGCCTGGTGCTCATACATGTCCACACTGAGGAAGGGCTTGTGTGGGGCCGTGGTACATGGACAGGGTATTTTTTTTCTATAGTAGAAGAGTKGAGACTTTGTGTAGGTGGAAGATAAATCTGGTTACCAGTGCTTCTCAAATGACCGTTTTTAATGCAAAAGCAAGGCCCAAATGAAATAGTTAGTTCTGAACGTATCCAGGGTTCATGGACCWCAGATCGTGTGGTGTTTTCCCATTTTTCTTCCTTACACTTACTGTACTGTGGGAAGGAGAAGGTGAAACATAAGCACTGCAAAAGAATGAAGAGGGATAGAGGATAAAAGAAGGACTCACACAAACAAGAGGTTGTGTGGTTTTATTGGCAGAGTTGGCAGGGTATCTTGGCCATTTGCTGTCATGTATTGTCCTGAACTGTCCCCACTCTCATTTMCCACTGAAGTTTGTGGGAATGTTCTTGTTGCTTTGCTCTCCTATCAGACAGACCAGCTTGTAATATTTAAAAACAAAACAAAACMAAAAAGTGCCTGAGGCCACCAAACCTTTTCTGTTTTATTGTTGTGTACCTGATCCTTACAATGTGAGCATACCTGTGTGTTTCGTGACCAAAGCTTATCTGTCCATACACAACAAGATTGTGTCCTGTTGTCCCACAGAGAATATGTGGTCCATGCTTTGAATAAATGTTTATGCTGATGTGTATCTCATGGAAATGAGGATAACTGGTCTTGTGTTTACCACGAGTAGCTCATGGTAGCTTTATGGCTGTATGTGATAGGCATGGAGGGAGCAGATTTGATTTTGCAGCCTCTCACATGTCTCATAGTGACTGGTTTGTGCATCTGTGGTCTGAGCAATAATGGAGGATGGTTGAAAATATTTTTGAAGCTTTCTTTAGGGAATTCATGCTGTAATTCATTCTGTAAATATTCCTCTTTTTTTTTTAAATCAGAATCCCATAGATAACTTTGAACAGCCAATGCATCTGGACAAGTGGTTTCCTCGTCAAGTGATCAGAAGCAAACGAGAAGAAATCCGAGATCTCATCTTGCAATTGCACTTTCAACAGCAAAGTGGCAGCAGCAGCTAATGAAGCTGCTCAGCCAGCCCTGGCAAAGACATTGATGTATATAAACAGTAACTGGAACTTTGCTTAGCAGAACTTGGGATGCTCTTGCTTTACAAGACCAGAAAAAATAATACTACCATGAGAAGTATTTTGTATGTTTGCTGTACCTTTTATTTAAACTTTTTTTTTTATTTGGATTTTGTGCTCCTAGAATGCAGTGCTGGGGGGAAAGGAAAAAACTGTACATARAAGTGTAAATATGTAAGTTAAAACAAGTTCATATTTGCTGATCGTTGAACTTTTACTTGAAATATAAAAGCTACATCTGGATATGTGCCACGAGGATGTAAAAAATATTTTGGTCGTGGGGCCTGTTCCTTACAATTCCATGTAACCATAACTTAGAGTTGAAGGAGCATGTAGGGATCGTCTTCAAAATCCTGCAGACAGGGTTTTGACCCTATGCTGTGACTCTTTCTACTTTGCAGTTCGCACAGAATTAATACTATGTATTGTTTTAATTTAAGAATACAATATTGACTCTCTTTAGAGATTTTTGTTTGTTTCTGATTATATACAGAAGTAGTCTGCATTTGTCAGAATATTCTGTTGGGTTTTGAGACTGCTAGATCTTGTGGATTTTTTTTTCCTCCCTTACATTTTCATCAAAGGAAAAATGGGGAGAAGGGAGTGAAACAGTTCATTTCTGTGTGATTTTTTTTGAAAGCTTTAAAACTCAAAAGTAGTCTCTTGCCTATATTTTTAATGACTTTTTCCTTAATCATATTTTGGAAAACAAGCTTCATCTCAAGGTATGTGCCAATGCAATACTTGTGGGAAGTAGATTTTTAATCCTACGTGCATTACTTCTGGGAATTACACCTCTGAATCTTATGGCATCGTTTGTGTTAGAAAAGCAAGCAGACTGTGGTGTAGCAAGCTTATTTGAAATGTTTTGCTGAAGAGTAAGCCTTTTTTTAATTCATAAAGGTCATTGTTATGTGTAATATGTCTTTAGGATATGTAATTTACACATAAAGCGAACAGGTTTTATACTTTGCTCAGGGGAATTGGGTAAAGATGCCCGCATGTGTGAGTATTTGRACTTGGGACTTGATTTGAAAAATGAGCACAGGTTGGCGAAGTAGGCCCTGGTGCAGACACGGATCACAGAAAACCTCAATRGCCTTCGCGTACGCGCACCCTGTCTGCCGCGGGCCCTGCCTGAGGTCGGGTGAACGTGTTCAGCAGGAGGCCCTCTCCTGTGCCCGAGGGAAGGTGAAGTCCTGGGTCCTTGCAGGACCTCGTGTCAGCGACCAGAACTGCACGGGTCAAACCTGCCACAAAACCTGCAGCTCCTAGAGCTTGCACGTGGGTTAGAGCATTAGGATGAAAATAGATGGCAACCCAAAGATGTGATCAGTTTTTTTGGTGTCTCGAAATCCTCAGGGCCCCTTTCCTCAAGGCAACTCTGAAACTTTGTGTTGCAGAACCTGGTTGTTTCTTCAAGTTCTGTGCAGTCATCCAAAATCAAAACCGGAGAAAAACCCGGTGGTGTTTCTCAAACCAGGAAGCAGCATTCTTTCTGGAGAAAAGAGACAATTTTAAAATAAAATAGTTTGCTGGTCACAGTTACCTTTTGTATAACTGTGGGCAGGCTGGTGTGAGTCATGCCTGTGTCTGACTTTGTTTCCACGTCAGTTCAGTAGCTGGTCACTACCTCCCACCTCCCCCTTCCTCCTCCTCGTCCTCCTCCTCCTCAGCTTCTATTCCCGTCATCCCAGAGCACTTTGTGGCTTTCATCACATAAACATTAGCACTATTATGGGGATAATTGTGTTTTTATTATAAAAATAGATAAAAGAATGAATTCAGAAATATGTGCCCTTTATACTTTTTCCATTGATGAATTTTTTGATCTTCTTTCAAATTTGTATTATAGTTTGGGGTTTTGTTACTGTAAAAATTGGTTTCCATCATTAAGTAATATTTGTTTTTCTTTTAGATTGGCTGGTATGTAGATATTTAAAAGCAAAAATCATGTGTAAACGTCTSTGAGTGTGTTTTATAACATTATTTTAAATGATGACCTTTGATTAATGCTAGTTGTGTACTATGAGTATGTCAATACCTTTAATATTAAAAAAAAGTCTTCTARTATTGCTGAACTTGGTTGTTCCTGTTCCTTTCCCTGCTGCCACAAATTACCAGAGTAAGCGTAAGATCCTGCTGTTTTCGTCGTATACGCAGGCATGTTTCTGTTAACCTAATTATGTATCGCAATGATTATTTATTAAAAAGGTATTCAGCTAGTTCTTTTCTTACAGCTTCTTGTTTCAAGCAAGGCTGTTTCTGGGGGTAACGCAGTGTTGTGGTTGCTTTCTGTACCTGGGCTGACAGCCTGGATGACCAGCTTGGAAGAGGCGACCAGATGCATCCCCTCCACCACACACACGTTTGCATTTAGCACTTGTATCTGTTGCTCTTTGGGGACTATTGCTACAGGTGTAAATTAGAACTCCCTTACCACAACTCTTAGCATGTGTCACACACCTTTTTGCATCTGTCTTGCATCTCTTTCCTGTATCAGTCAAGTAGATTTAGGTTTTTAAACAGTGATTGAAAGGCAAAATTATTTAAAAACAGTATTTGCACTAGAGCGGGGTTTCGGGGGCATAATTTCTGTRTTATCTTACAGAAAATAATGCAGTTGTTTGCATTTAGAGTATGGAACAACATATCCTTTCTCCCTTCATTAGAATTATATTTCTCTTTAGCAGGAATGTCTACTTTTTTCTTACACACTTCTGAACAGARATTTGTTCATATCTTTAAAATCAAGAATCATACATTTGCTGGTGCACAACTGTAAAGGCTTTGGTAAAATCAAGGGATAAATTGGTTTCCAAAAGTTATTTCAAAAATTTATTACAACAATTGCTATTTTTGTCTCAAAACACTTCAAAGGGTGGTTGTGCTTTTTCACTTACACAYTTTGCTATCATAAATGTTTAGAAACTTCCAGCTATTGCAAGTCTAAATTTCACTGCTGAAGACATTGTTGAATTCAAAATTAATAGATTGAAATAATATGATTAAAATTGCATTTAAATGCTTAGGATAATTTATTGCCCAGAAGCTGATRGAGCCTTAGGAAATAATTACATTTTGACAGAGCTATAAAACAGGCGTTTTTATAATAGCCCAATTCTCGGTGCAGCTATTACTTTTTATTTAATCATCATTCTATATTTGAAAACKGTCCGGGAAGCCACTTAATTGGATTTTGAAGTCTTGCTCAAGTTCGTGCATTCTGAGAATATTCTCTAAAGGGATTTGTTGCCGTGTGTTCTTGAGCTAAGTGAAGCTTTGTCTGACTTTATTAGTGCGGACGGTCATTCTAATCTTGCTTTAGTTGCATTTTTTTTTTTTTTTTTTTTGGTGGGTAGTGGAAGCCAAGTCACTCCCGACACTGAAGGCCTCTGTCTCTGCAGAGGATGATTTTAAAAAATAATTAAAACCCCCATGAAATGCGAGGCTGTCTTGCTGAGTGCAGCCCCGCGGTGCAGTGCAAGGCCGGGCAGGCTGGCCTGGTGTGCTCGGAGGGACGGGGAAGCTGCGTGTGGGTCTGAGCGCAGCGCCGCTCAGCTGGCAGCTCCCACGTGCCACGCAGCGAGCCCAGGGGTGCCCGGCACGAGCAGCGCTCTGCTCGGATCCAGCTGGACACCCTTCTTGTTAAGGGATCATCTCTTCCTAATGCTTGTCCCAAACGTTACCCTAATAGGGTTGGAGAAAAAAAATAGGTTTGTCCTGTTTTATCCTGGCAGAAGCGGCCGTTCTGGGATGTGAAGCGCTGCAACGACACAAGCTTTTCTGCTTTAGCACGGGCTCCCGCAGCCAGACTTCGTCAGCTCTGTCACGAGAAGGCACCAGAGAAAGATTGCTTCTGTGCTACCTACGTCAGTGGTGAAACCAGTCAACACATACTTAGATGCATTTATTTGAACCTGGAGAAGGCTGCAAAGCACCCTGAGACCTGCTACTGGGGCATAACGTGCTCCCCCTGATATTTGGTGTGTGGCACATTTTTAAAAAGGCAGAAATTGAAGAGCCAATGGAAAAAAACGTGGCTAATTAAGTGTGAAAGGTGCTGTCCTTGTTTGGACTGTTAATGGTATGACAAGCTGTGGTAAAGAGCTTAGCTGGCCAGATTAAAATTAAAAAATTGTCTCAGTCCATCTGCTGACTCCAAGAGCTTCCTTTCATCACCTTTTCTTGCTTTGTTTCACTGGAGTGGGATATTCTCTCTGAAGAAAGATCATTCCTAGGATATCTTGGCTAACATTTTATGAAAACTACTGAATGCTTTTTCTTCTTTTTCAAAGATAATGTGGCGTCCAGGCATTTGCGGAAAGGGCGATGCTCTTGGCTGGTTCAAGGATGTGTTAATGCTCTCTTGCTAAAGGAGATTCTCCTTTCCTTTTTTCTTTGCATATTGTTTTTTGGACACAGTAAGTATGTTCAACTTCCCTGTGAAAATCTCTCTCTGCATCTTGGTTTTGAGAATGATTGAAGGAGATCTTCAGACTGTTGCAGGTAACTCAGAACTATTTGTTCCATATATTCTTGTTTAMAAGGTTTTACTCATGACTGTGTAGAAGTAAGAATAGGCCTGTGCATTAGAGCAAGAGGAAGAAATTTAATACACAGAAATATTGTCAGCACTGTGCTRTAGTAACAGTGCTAACGTGGAGAACGTGCAGTGATTTCCAGGAGGTCTTACTGTATGTCTGTGTCTTTATAACAGAGCAAAATAAAGCTAGAGGATACTAGTTATCTATTGCTAYGTGGGGGGGACTTAAACTGTGCCAGTTTGGGTAAAGATGGGTGTTTTGACATAGTGACCTTGTTTGACATTCTCTATTCCCTGTATTGCATTTGACRGTGGTCTCCTAGAGCCAGCTATTAGCATGCCATCAAAATAGCCATGTTCATCATGTATCAGTCAGCAAAGTCAAAGGTGCTATGGATTTTGATGATGCAGAATGAGGTTGTAGCCTGTGAGATGAAAAACACTACAGATGTTTCACTTGTATTAATTAGTTGTGGTTCTTTGGTTGTGTTTTGGGGAGGGGGAGAAGGGATGAAAAGGAATGAAAAAAAAACAGTGGAGTTAGACAATTTCAAATTAGCTGTTTGTGGAAGACAGAGACTGTCAGGCTAACCYTGAACAGACCCAGTTTTCCCTCAGCTGGGGGTTTGTTTGCAGTGATGCATCCAAACCAGAAGCAGGAAATGAAAAAGCTAAAAGCCAAAGCTTCTTACATTCTGCATTCTTACATTCTGCATTCCCCTCGACTGCACTTGGTAGGTGTTGATTCAGGCAGCTTACTTAAAGCAAGGAATATGAAAAATAAATGTTTCTTGCAAAGTGGTGTTGTAGACTAAGGGGAATTGGTTTAGTGGTCCTGCAAGCTGTCAAGCAYATATGTGAATATGTTTATTCACATATGTGGTCCCATTGGCTTAAAGGAGCCAAGTCACAAAAGTGAAGGTTGGCACAAAACATCATTTATAGGGTTAGGGCTTTAGCTTATGTTATCACTTCACAGGATGCTGTGAAGTAAAGAGCTTAAGGTTGTTTAAAATAGTACTGTTATCATACAGACGGCTTTTGGGGGAGAGTAAATGTCTTCTTAACAGAAGAAAGCTCACTTGTGTCCTTCAGAGATCAAAACCAAGGCATTAAGATACATATGAATTTGTCATTATCTCACCTGAAAAATATTTTCATGGTTTTAATTTCACAGTGGAAGCTTATTCAACTGCAGAGGAAACACAGGCTAAAGATGCTTTAGTGGCCCCTCAACTCGGTGACTGGCAATTGGCAAACTCTTCCCTGCCTCCTGAACCAAAACAAGCTGCTGGCACCTCAGAGCCTGGAAAGGTCAACAGCCCCTTGCTGCTTCGGAGGCGGCGATCCCTTTTGTTTCCCGGAGTGAAGATCTGCCCTGATGAATCCGTTGAGCAGGCTATTGCCAACCATCTCAAATACTTCAGACTCAGAGGTACGTGGGCATGAGCAATGCAGCCGAGTGCCTGTTGTGGGCAACTGATAAAGAGATGTTCAAAAAGAAATTAGCAACTTTTATGGTAGGGATAGGAACTGTGCAAGAACTGGGGTGTTTCCCAGCAAACTTTTCTGTGAAGGCTTTTCTCCTTAAAAGTTATCTTCAGTCRAAAAGTTGGTATTAACTGAGCTAAGCACATTCATCCTTTCTTACAGAGCAATTTCATTGGAAAAATAGACGGATTTTATGCACGGGTTCACTAAATGGCTGACCTGGATTTTCTTTTGAGTGTTTGTGCCTGTCCTTACTGTGCCATCAGTGTTCTTCATAGTGTCTTCCACATAATCTATGAAACAAGAAAGAGCTGCTGTCACTCACAGCTGCTGTTGAGTAGAAGGAAACATGTTCAGAGACATGTTGTTTAGTCCCAGTTTTTGATTGCCTGTACATGCAAGTCCCGTAGATAACTGCAGCTGTACAGTTAAGTACCTGCTTTCACAGAATCGCAGAATATTCAAGGTTGGAAGGGACCTCTAGAGATCATCTAGTCCAACCTTCCTGCTCAAGCAGGCACACCTACAACATGTGGCACAGGGTGGCATCCAGGCGGGTTTGGAAGACCTCCAGAGAAGGAGACTCCACAGCCTCCCTGGGCAGCCTGTGCCAGGGCTCTGTCACCCTAACAGTAAAGAAGTTCCTTCAAACTTCTTTACTTTACTTCTTTCCTCCTTTAAAATAATAGAATTAAGTCACTGTAATTTCCTTCACAGCATCTTTGTGCAAAATAAGAATGCCTTTTTGTATTTCTAACTGAAGATTTTAAAAGGTAATTCAATTCTTTAGAAATTTATAGATTTATTTAAAATGTMTTTCTGTGATTTTGGAAAGGATCTTAGGCAAAATTTATTAAATAATAATAAAAAGAGTAAGAAGGCCGTGCTGGCTTTTGTCCACATAGTAGTTACGCTTGTATCATTGCACTAAAATAAGTGGTAAAGCTATCGTGCATAAACTGAAGTGCAGAAATCCTGCATTGCTTTGAATTATTCTACCTTAAATGACTTACCTAAGGTCCTGTGAAGCTTG